TAGTGTAGCACGAACCTCATTTATCCCCTCCTTCCTGACCCTTATACCCTTAGAACACTGGGACTGGTTGAATTTTGACATATTTATTGCCTAGCGTAAATAGGGATGGATACAAGTTTAGGGAGATTTGGACACGGGACTCTTCTCTGGCCAGCGAGGTGATAATCACTTCCCAGTCACAAGGTTGAATTTGACTGCCCATCTCCTCTCTGATGGGAATATTTAAACAGCATATGTATCACATTTAAGAACAGCTGGAGGAAAGTTTGCTCTCTTTGATTTTTTTTCACTTTTACTGCACGTGCGAAACAAATTTTGATTCCAAAACCGAAAATGTCAAGGTCTAAATTCATCGAAAATAACCTGAAAATCCTAATCATTACTTTGGGCACTTTTAAATGCTTCGCCTTAAGAGTAGGCTTGATTGACTTATCAAAGTTCACACAGTTAATCCTAGAGGAAAATCACTCATTAGAAAGAATGGCATTGCAAATTTTAAAGTGGAAGGTGAAACTCTGCTAGAATATAAAGTAAGTGTAGCCCCTGGAGACGTCCCGGAGATGAAAGAAGACACAGTACTCGGGCAGATTGCGTATTGTTGAAGCACAGCAGGGCTTGGGGACTACAGGCATGGCCTAAAGGACAGACAGTCCGGCGGACATACAATGACGAAGCCCTTAAGTGGTCCGTTACCAAAATCAAGAGTTAAACAAACAAGTAGCCCATACATAACCCAACTTTGTTTATTCAAGGTATGTGCATGACCAGTCTTTTTACCCCAGCATGAACGAGAAAGTGTTATTTTGTTCTCGCAATTTACCGCATTTGGAGGCGCTTATTTAGGATGCGTGACGGAACTTTAGACTTTTTTCATGTCCCGCCCTTCAATGACATTTTGCAAGAATTACCGCATTTCTATTTCTATCTCTTTTGAAAAGTAAATGCTCATTTCTAAGTTTTAACGAGTTAATTTTGGTTGTTTTCTTCTCCTCACCGTTTGAACTTTCAACTAAACTATAATTTCATGCAGTTTTGTGTTGTACTCAAAAAAATGCCCAACTTGTGATTTGGTTGCTTATAGAGTTCACAAATCCTTTAAATATCCATTTTGTTTTGCGCTTGGCAACCATGCCTCCTAAGAATTCCGAGTTTTATAACCTTTTCTGTATATCATGTAGAACAGTGTGTCTTTATAGACTTCCTTGGCTAATTCTATATTTTGCTAATGCTGCTTTAATTTGCCTTATGCCAGAGGGGTTAATTCGACCCGCCTCCCCAAAAATAGCCAAGAACCATGCCTTAGCGATAATAAAAAAGGCGTTTAAACAGACCTAGGATACACTATGAAAGTATTAAATATTTTTAGTAAATGCTTTCAATGTGACTAATTTTTCGATTTGATACAGATTTTTATAGTCATTATTGGTGATGCCTAGTCTAATTTTGAAAGTTCAGCCTACTTGTCTGACCTCTTTTGTTGACCAAGTTACGAGGTAGATTGAAAACAGGAGCCACCTATTTGGGTCGCGGTCTCGAGACCGGGGATGAAGTATATTTCTTTGAATGTGGGCGTCGCAGATGTGCTGCATCGGGGTGGGAACACTCATGTATGTTTATGGAACGAGAGACTTAGCAACTCCTGCCACACAGTAAGCAAGTGTACCATCGTTAAGAGCTCTACCTACTCTTCATGCCTTACAGATCGGGTGACCCGATTTGCTAATGTCCCAATGGCCGGTTCGGAACATTCTGTAACAATATTGGTTCTAGAAGAGACTTTTCTGTACGTCGCTCATTCTTATTTTGTTGGTTCCACGTTGATAAAGCGGGTATTTATTGGGTGAAAATTTCTTAGTGGGTAGATTTACTTTCAAATTCACATGCTCAGACTGTACCTAACATTAGGCTAAAATAAAGCTATGTACTTTCTCTATCCCACTCAGACCCATAGGACAATGACAAAAGCACGCATAATAGAAAGCTCTAAAAATTGTTTAAAAATTAACTGTTGGAGAGGTAGGCAACGTTGAAAGAGTTTAGCAATTAAATAACTAAATGTGGATCAATATTTAATCTCACAGTCACTGATACCTGGTGGCAGTATATTTACTGGACCTTGTTTTATAATCCCTTTTAGGGCAAACAACGATCACATTAGTCGATAGCCAATGGGGCAGTAAGAGAAATTATGAACGCACTAAGTTGACTTTGAAGTTTTTGCACTTGAGAGAACTAGCTCGTAGGATTACTACGTATGAGCACCACTGAGTATGGTTTTAAACATTTATGACAAAGATGGGGCAACATTGCAAGGGGCTTCAAAGGTACGCAATTTTAGTGAAAATATTGAGAGGTGGTAAATGACATTATCAAGCATCTTTTGCTGGCATAACTCAATATTAGAGCTGTGGGCACATGTAGGGAATATTTACATCCATGGAAAATTCTCCCACAATTATTTACTGGCTCAAATGTATAAAACAATGTAGAACCCTTGTTTTAGATTCTATTTTTCTAAGAAGAACACTCAAATATTGTTGACTATTTAATCACAACAACCTAAAACCCCGACTAGAATATGCTGCACAAAATATGCCATGCTTTCTTATCTTAGCGCCTCTTGTAATACCACTTTTGCTAATAAATTGAGTCATGTGATTCTCTCTTAACATTACTACTTGCTTTTATCATGTGGCCAAAAAAGTTGATGTTTGTCACTTGTAAAATGCCATTACTTATCCGCAATACAAGGGTGTAGGTGTGCCTCAGTCTGTCAGTAGGCCAAACTCCCGATTTCTACACGTGTTTCCTGACTCTCTGACCCCTTACAAAATAACCTTTCGAACCTGTCTGCTTCATGAAACGGGTTGTATTGTATAGCCCTTATAGTGTGATGGCGGAACCTAATTAAACACTTTAGCCCAGTAATTAATCACGTTCAGTTAGACCCTCCATTATTATTAATGAAAAATTAGGTTCTGCTATTAATTAAAATAATTAGATATTAACTTATCGGAAAATTTCGGTAATTTTTAACACGACTTATGAAAAAAGTCATTTTATTTACCTCAACTGGGAGGAGGAAATTGGAGAAGCTACTCAGCAAAGAGGCACTATGCACATAACAGATGTGCAAAGCTGTAAAGGCCATCAATTTGTTCAACACTTCTAGAGTTGTGAAAAAATGCCGTCTTGGGTTGTTTGCTGACTGACTGACTTGTGATATGGAATGACTTTCGTATTCATTATCAAACGAACAAGTGTCATACCTTACCCCCAAACGATTCATTCACTACCCATCTCTCATTTCCGAGTCACACACCATTCCATTTTTAGAGGACTATGCACTGTGTGTGTGCATTGGAGTACAGGATTAATTTTTTTGCTGATGGCTAAACAGCAAGTACATTTGAGATCTCGATACATCGCTATTGAATTTGAAAATGTGCAAGAAAAACCTCCTCGAAAATCGACATTGCCAGAGGCTTGGCGCTTTCGGATGGAAGAGAGGCAATGCCTCGTCCGATGCTGCTTCAAGTGATTTTTACCTATTCTTGGCATTAAGTAGTCACACGTGGAGCAGACATTTGGAAAATGACACTGCGATAGAAGCGGGAGTAGCTAAGGCTGGATCATTACCTACGAGAGAGGGCGGACCGTAGCTTTTAATGATAAATGCTAATGCATTGGATCTACTCCAAGAAGCTTTCTGAAGTATTTTGTTTTTGCAGCGGACAACTGCTTGAACTTATCTGATTACCTCAAACGTGGCCGAACTTCTTAAGCGTTGTTGTTAATTTTACGGGTCGTGATAATACCTGGGAGGGGCCTGATTACTTGCCGCCTCGCAATAAGAGGAGCAATTGTGTTTTATTACCCTGTCGCAGACAAGTTGACGTTCCTTTCAGTGAAGGAGTTTTCTTGAAGCATTTTAATGCGCTCAGCATTGCTTGGATTAAAGCTTTTGATAGTTGTTTAATTAGTTCGTTGAGCATACAAAAGTTATACTTAGACATCGTCTCAATTAAAATTAACAATATTTCCTAACTGATTTATTCAGATTGCAAGAACAGAAACCTGGTGAGGTGTAAGCTTCACGTATTCAGATGTTCCGTAAGCGTGTTACTTGGTATCTGAAATTTGTCCCTCGACAGCAATATAGTACTAATAAACTGTTGATTATTCAAGAATACAGGTCAAAATTTCTCCCAAAAATACGTCAAAACCAAAAAGCCTTTAATTTTGCACAACGCTCACTGTTTTTAATGAGAAATGTTGTTTTTATGTGAAAGATAAATTAGCATGGTCATATGAATGCTTTTCCAGGCCAACAGTAATGCCACACTAGTAATTCCATAATTTGGATTAATTCAGTCCACACAGAGTTGGCAGATTAACACACCGAGTAAGCACCGGTCAGCTCTCACTGCCATTGATCTCGGATCCAATTATTTCCAACTTCATTAAGACCTTTACACTGTCAAACTTGAACCAATCCTATAGCGCCTATCTCGATGATTCAAAGGCGGTGTAGAGAAAGGATGACTATTTCCAAAAGGAGGTAGGTAGAGATATCTGCTAGATAACACCGAGACTCTCTGGCTAATGTGAACTTTCTTCCTCTTCCATCCCATGCAAAGTACACATTAACGCAATAGTTAATTTGTTTACAAAGTTGAAATTTTGGGGACACTTTACTTGGGCCAGACCATCCATGCCTACCGATGGGGTTGACATTGCCACAGTAACTTTGAAACATTGGTTGAGAGGCATCTCCAGCGTTACTACAATTGTTCTCTCCCCGACAATGTTGCATTCCCAGAGAAGCGTGGTTATGACATGGAGGGGACAAGCTTCGAGTGGAAGCATAACACTTGTCGGACCCAATACCTCGCTAAACAATCAAGGGATGCATGAACGAATCTGAACAGCCGTGTCTATGAGTCATCGGTAATCCTAACGCCACGACTAATCAAATTCTTCCAGTTAGTGGGCGCAGCTGTGCTTCGGCACCCAATTATATCTGGACTCTTTCCAATCTCCGGCTTCCTACTGGCTCTCTTGAGCAAGGACACCACCGATGCGCATGTATTCGTGCTGCAGCTGTCCGCACGATTGGTCCGCGCACGTACGTCCCATCAATAATGGCAATTTTTCGTGATCTGGGCTTGTTTTAGACCCATCGGAGAGGTTTTGGCATTTAGACCACTACACGGTACTGGACAAAGTCCATTACATGCCGTTTATAAAATGAGGAATGACTTGGATTATGACACCTGAAGCCTTTCGATTTCACATCTTCTTTACTTTATTACTTTAATTTTTATTCTACCAACATTATGGGAATCGTAACCCGCTAGTAAGCCATTTTTTGCACACTATTAGAATAGCTGCACCTAAACACCTATGAATAAGTAATTTAGTGCAAATTTATTTTGTCTAGAATGATCATGCTAACTTGCAAACATGATTTAAATTTCTCTGCCTCACTGTTAATTTGGATCGCACGCCAGCTCTTGGGTCACAAAATCACTGCGTCAGTGGTTTCACTGATTGGTTCAAAGTCTAACCAATGGGCACTAGAGGACAATACTAGTTTGCCCAGTTCATTTGAATTACCTCAGCAAAAACATCTAGCCTTCTTGACAGAGCACCCTGTGTCAATCAATGAACTTAACGGAAAATTATACGAAATTTCTTGCTTGTCAGCGTGACATCCTGGAATATGTCCGAAAATTTGGCCTTGGTTACTTCGGCGTCCTCATATTTTTTGGCACCATTGGAAACATTATAAGTTTGCTGGTGATTCGTGGCGTGAGACAGACCTATCACCAACCCTCTTGTCAGATCCAGAAGGAGCCATCGGAAGAACGAGGACAGGAGTTTGCCGCCTTGCATGTTGGCTCGAGACGCAACTTCCCGGTGCGCGTTATTCCCGAGAACTCTCAGGTCCTCTCTTTCGAAACGACAGCAGGTAGCCCAAAGCCATCTGGCGTTGGTGTAATCAATCAAACGAGGTTCTCTATTGTCAGCCCATCCGCCATTCCCAAACGACAACCCATGAGAAAGCATCCCTCTAAGTCCATATTCACGGCTCTCGCCATAGCAGATACAGTTGCATTATGGGTCAACCCCATTCGCTACTGGATACTCTTCGCCTTTGGTTTCGACATTCGACAGAACGACAGTGTAACTATGTGTCGACTGCACACATTTCTCACCTACGCCACCCGAGATACCGCTATCTGGGTATTATGTCTTTTGACATTTGAGCGTTACCTAATTGGGTGCTTCCCACATAAGGCAAAAATAATTTGGCGAGGACGGCGTAAGGTTTCCGCCTGGGTCGGGATTTTCTCCGTTATTTTAGCCAAAAACTCGATTCTTATATTCATTTTGCAACTCATTTATCCGGACGATGTGGGGGATTTTGTGATTGTGGGACCTAGCTACGCCGAGTTGAACACTTCAAGACTACTCCTTTGTGATACTTTGGATCTTACTTCTCGAAGGGTCTTCTTCTACCTCGACATAGTAATTTATAGTCTAGTACCAACAGGCCTCCTCCTTGTTCTAAATATAGCCCTATTTAGGGTGATTCAGCGGCGAAACATCATGTGCCGAAGGTGTGAATTCTTTCCAAAATCGGATAATGTAGGTGCTACTCCGCTGGAGGATAGCATGCGAAATAGCATGAGCATGCAACTGGGATCGTTAAAAATCATTGGTTCAGTGGTTCAAGCAAACCAATTGTTGATTCCTGTGGGCGTTTTTCACCTAATCACCTCGGTGCCCATTTGCATCTTTTCAATCGTTGAAGATGCCATGCAGCTAAAGCGCAGTCCTTCTGCCTACGCGCGATGCGTCGTGAACGCATGTGGCTATCTGCTGGTAATGTTGGGAGCCACTACATATGGAGTTAACTGCCTAATCTACTTTCTCAGCTCACGGCAATTTAGGGAGCGCCTCTATGCCCTCACTTACCCTACTCGACTCGTCAAAGAAGTTGAGCCCACCTCCTATTTTCTCGACCCAAGTGACACTGTGAGTCCGCATCAGAACCCGAAAGGCAGAAATCCTAAGGAAGGGACATTAGTAGAATCAATGGAAGTCTGCGCTGACGCCCTCCGGTCCTAACTACTCTGTATATGTACAGTATCGAGGATAAAATATGAATGCCAACTGTCCTTATTACTGTTATTGATTGGATCTGTCACTTTGCTACATGAAGTGATCAGATTTTGTGATAAACAAGGCGTGCTCACCAACTCAATGCATTGTTATAATACTTGATGGGATACGTTTAACCAGATTTCCGCTGTGAAAGTAAACGGCTTGAAATTCGTTCCCATTTTGTGGTCTTTGGCAATTTCTTAATGCTATCCTTTCATTAACTTCTCGTAAACCTACATTTCTATTACCACACACAGTTTCTCGTTAGTTTTAATTAGCATTTTATCCCGGATCCCCTTTCAATTTCGGAATCTACACTAAATTCTGTTAACACGTGCTTCATAGACTGCATGTGGTGCGACTTCATTTTATTCTCTAAGGTAAATGTGTAGGAAAAAGGTCGTTTCCCTCTGCACACTTTGTTTGTCTTGTTAATTTTCAGTCAGACTATTACCTAATCTATATGAATTCGGTAATTCACTTGCATTTCTTACTAACAAATCCTCCTTGATTAGATGCAAATGCATGGCGTGGTTGGGTTATGAACTTTCACGAACCGAGGTCACTGTACATGTGTCGACTTGAGTGTACTTTGGGTTCGACGCTAGCTTGCCCTTGAACAACCAGTTCATATTACTGCATAGTTTAAAAATAGAAATTTGACTTACTCTAACTGCTCAGTGCTAGGCTCAGACTTCTTTTCAGCTGATGCGTGGTTTTAATAGATGTCTGCTATTCTCGACAAATGGGTTCGTCCATTTTTACGGTAGTAAGTCCTACGACTTGTTGAAGCACCAATCATGTGATAATTACCGGTTGCACCCTCAAATACCATTTTGGAATGTTTCAGAGGCAATAAGTCATTGATGTGGCTAGGGGTATCCCATAAAGGGGGTATTTCATATACCTATAGTGGGAAAGTCTTCGATGTTTCCAACTCAACCGTTTCTTTATTGTTTATAGCCAAAATATTTAGCCTTCTAAAAATGATCCTATTCTCAGCTTTATGCTATGGTGATCCTCTCTTATGGTCCTATTTTTCGCTGTTAAACTTGAGTTTTGGAGAATCTATTCTTGTATATTTTGAAATTTGTCAATACAGTGATTGTAAATTTAACATCGCCACAGTAATTACTGATTTGTACAAAAATAGATCTGACGAAATTATTCATAAACTCCAGTGCTTTAGCAAATAAAACTGCCAAAACAAATGGCTCAGTGCGAGACACCATTCCGTGTTGTCCCGGCGAAGGAAACGTTTTGATATCAGCAACGTATGACCGAGGATAAGTGTTTCTGAGAGTAGCGTGATGGGGAAAGTATTTATTGGATCGAATATTATCATTCAAATTCGTCCTAGTCTATATACTTGCAAGGAAGGCTGAGTTGCATTTCACCATAATCGCTGCGTAAGCATGAGAGTCAGAGTGACATGACATGGATGACTTTGGCGGCAAAGGTTTGCTTACAATAAGTCTTACCGGTGGCCTGGCACTTAATACATAAATTACTTGACTGATAGCTTTGCGTTGGATTCTGAAACCCCATGCACTTCCGTGCTGAGGAAATGGCTACCTTTCTGGGCTAAAAATTTGGCCTTACAAGCACTTGTGCACGCCATCATTTAAACCGTTGACCTCAATAACCTTACTTCCAGGACATATTTCTGATCTTCCCTACACCAGTCAGGTGGATTGCCTGTGTACGGGCGCACGACAATTGCCGAGGCCCCTTCGCCGGTCACAGTTGCCCCATGGCAGTGATGCGGGCGCCGGCATGTGAAGTGCTTCTTCCATACCCGCCAGATTTGGCTTATCTAAAGTTCCCTTTGCTCCCATCATGGCGTTAATGAAACTTCTGGTACTTAAAGAATCTGCAAAGGTAGTGTGGTGGCGAATCCAAGGAATTCATCAGTTGGTAGTTTCAAGAAATAATTATTTACTGTGCAAACGAACATCGTGTCACCTGAACGTGGGCACAAAAGTGTCAGAATGATTAAAGGGAACAAAACAATTTCCTATAGGAAGTTATAGCAGTCTGATTATTTTTTATTACTCCACCACAGTGAGCGGTGTGAAGTGGGTTACTGAATTATACTAAACAAAAAGTCCTTGGTGTTGAGAGTAATTTCTACTGCAATTTAGACGACTTGTTGCATCTTGCCCAGCTTTGCCTTGTCTAACGCCAAAAACACCATCTTCTACAGGGGTAATTCCTTAGAGTAAATTTGGTTGACAGCGATCGTAAAAGTGAAGTGGAAAAGATGGTCGCTGCTGTCGTCCAGAAGTCCCTCAAAGTTCCCCTTTTTTAAAAGGCCTGTTTTGCCAATCGAAAAGACGTTAAATTGTTTCTCTACTGAAAACACTAAACAAACGCTTTTGTAATTGACAGCTTTTATCTTTGAAGTTCTTACAAGTGTGCGTAGTATATACTATTGTTAGAAGAAATGCCTCTTTCGAATCTTACGTACCCCTAGATGAGATGGTAGAATACCAATTAGCGCACCCGTTTTGCTGTGTTAAATTAAAGTGCGGTCTGCAACAGAGGGCGTGGGAAGTCAAGGCAAAGACCCAGTTAAACTGATTTAATATATACCACGGATGACCCCCCTTGCGGTAGTCAATGAAGTTTAAACGCCCACTACGGTGTAAATACAGTGCAGCGAACAAATCAGCGCAGTAAACTCCAACACCACATTACTTTTTTATAAATGGTTATGAAACAAATAGCCAAAACGTCTATTGAGTAAACACGGACACAATTTATTATTCACAGTTTGTACTTATGTAGAGTTTTCGTTTGAACCAAATACACAATTGCAACGCTTGCTAAAATAAACGCTTGTATGGCATCAGTATTGGAGAAAACCAACAGCAAGCATTTGTGAGTGCTCAACTGTCACGTAGAGGGCTGGTAAATACTTGTAATCGATCTAGTAAATTTTTTTGCAATATACAGGACTACGTCTAACTTAAGCGATAAGATTCGAAGATTTTCTCAAATAGCCACTTTATTTTAATACTTTTTAACAATAAGTCGGTGAGCCAATTCATCTTACAGAGACACATCTGTTTGATCAAGCCACAAAGGTCAACATCTAGCTTTTTGTGGACGAACAAGTGTGCATTTATTCTTATCAAATATTGTACCCAAGAAATAATGCTTTCAAGCTTATCAAAATGATTCCAATTTGTGTTGTATTAAGTTCTGATTCAGCTAAGTTTAAGGTTACACGGCAAGGCACATTAGAGATACAACCAATGCAAGTATTCTAAAAGTCTGAAATTAGTTAAAATCTCATTTTAAAAAATTCCATGGTAGCTGCATCACGCAGATGAGTGATGATATATCCTTCTAGATTGGAGCCGATTGTTACAAATCACTGAAAAAAATAGCCGTGGTAGAATCAATGGAAGTAGGTGGTGCACATGTTTAGCTTGTCTGCCAGAGTGAATCGCGGCCTCGTAAGGGAGGTCGATGTTGCCTCTGAGGGGGTAAGCCGGCAACTTGGAGTACTTGTTAATCTCTCCAGTTCGGAGACCGAATTAATGCCACATGGGAATTTGTTGAAATGCGTTGGAGATGAACGGGTAGATGGTGGCCAGACACGGTTCTGCACAGTTGATTTGGCACAGTGGATCAGAGACTCCTGTGGACTGACCAGGGGCGTTTGGGAGGAATGGTAGCTGACTGTTTGATAAAGGGACTGGTTAGAGCAGAGTCTTGGAAAGTGGTTAAAGTTTGCTCTTCTATTTTGTGCTGTTGATACTCCAGTTCTGTGTCTCGAGTAATTCGGTCGACCATATGACCTCATTGCGGTTTGCCTCTAGGAGTGAATAACATGTTACTTAAGCGCTCCTAGTAGGTAAATAGGGCAGCTGGTCGTAATATCGCATACCGTTTGATCCGGAAAGAGATACTGAACGTAGTTAGTTGATATCTTTGGGACATAAACCCCTTCATCGAGGCCTTGATAGCGTATATCTGAGAGAGAGCCTTGAAAATGATTTAAAGGCGATTTGGAACATAGGGGAGGAGATAAAACTTCGCTTTGACATGAAGGGACTGCATTGAAGGTGCAAGCTGGGCCGGCGAAATGGCAGGATGTGGCCAGAGCACCATTGTGAACCTGTTTTGTACTAAATTAGAGTTTTGATGAAAGTTTTGGTAATAATGTTATCTCCTTTTATTGCTGATGTGAGCTGCGGTACTAGCCATGATACATGATCGGCACATGAAAAGCGAATGAGAATGAAAATGTTGAGTACCTTGCTCCGAGAGGCCAACTGTTTGGAGCTCAGCAAAATTAGTGAGCAATTTTGCATTATTGAGGCTTCAAACTTAATCCAAATGATAGCAGACACTTAAATAACAAAGCATGACATTTAATTTAATTGTAAAATCAAGGTAATGAAACTGATACTCGATGGCAATGAAAATTCTTACAACTAACAAAGTGTTGCAACACAATGCAGTGTGTTATTAAAATTTCAAAAATGCTATTATTTGAATTAATAGACATGATTACTGAGTCAGAGCTAGTGAATAAAAGGCAATGATTCTCATAAACTCTTCTGCCTACGCTCAATTGCTGCTCTACTGCAGAAAGTCGCAATAGCGAATAGTTGTACTGTTGACGAGGATAGAACAAACTAACTAACCGAAAAAGCCCCCAAGATTGTTCGCTCAGTGAAGGCCTAGTGTAGTGTCACGTCTCATTTTTACGAAACTGAGAGATTTTGCATAAATGTCATAACTTTTGCCATCAGGAGGCTTAAAAGCAAATCCATATGACTCTACTGGTACCCGAAAGGATCCCCTACTATATTTTAGAATATAAGGTTTGGTGATTGATTTAAAATACCAAATTTTAAGCAGAGACATTTTAACAAATTCCTTCGTTTACGGGACATTCTTCATAGGGCTTTGTCTTCCCAAAATTTTCACTGGCTACACGTAAAATACCAAGGGCACATCTGATTGTGAAATTAATTAATACCATAATAAGAAAAACAGCATTGAGCAGGACCTGGAGTAGGAAGAGTCAGAGGACTGCCCGTCGGTGTGGTAGTTGGAGTCGGTTGTGGCGTTACCATTGGATAGTTGGCAGCGGTGGCAGCAGCTGTTTGGATACGGCGGCTTGTCTGGCGAGAGGGCGAGGGAAATGGAGAGAGGATGGGGGAAAAGCGAGAGCTGCGGCTCAACCCGACCCACCAAGAGAGACCAGGAGGCCAGCACCGATTGTTGCGCCTCCTTTAGCTCCTCGCTTTCGCGGTACAGGCGAAGCAACTGAAGGCAAACATTTTTGCATGCGATACCACCTTTTTCGCATTCCTTCGCCCATTGCTCTAATGTAACGAGTGCGTGCAATTTGCAAATTTACATATCTTTAAGTAGTTTAAAAACTGACCGAAATATCGACAGTGGAATGTGCAATCAATGAGATAAACTTTTCTATCAGGTGGGAGATACGCAGGTTGTGAAGATGTTTGATTCATAGATACCGACTGATAAAACGCCATTGAGAGCGCTAAATGTTCGGTGCTTTGACGGAAAAACAAACTACCCTCCAATTACTCAAACGTATTTGATTAATGGAATTCTAGTCTAAAAACGCCCGAGCTGAATCAAAATTTGTTAGCTAAAACATACCTGCCTTGAAAGACTGCTCCACTTCGTTATAACCATTTAAGCAATGCTTAAAGTCGTCTTCACTGTTTCAGAATTATGGGAAATTTTTAACCCTATTCGCAGAAAGTACAATGAAAGCAAACAGAATAATTCTACTTAAATGCTTTTCGAAATCATGACTGGCAGTCCTGAGATACCGTTTTTTGATTCTCTCGTGCAGAGTTTCGGTAAGCCTTCCTTGATTTCCTGCACAACACTGTATTCACGGCACGAGTCATGTTTACTCTTAGGATATTCTGCACGGTGGCAATTTCCACATTCTTCCAGGCTATGAGATCGTTAAGCTTCATGGAGTCTGCTTTGTTGAGATGGCACCGTGGCTGCGCTGGTAGTGGCAGCTGTTCTCCACCGTAACCACCACCACTGCCATCGCTTGCACCTGCAGACTGTCGTGCGGCATCCGAGAACACCCTAGTATTGAGTGCCGGCAGGCTGTCAGATAGGCTCTTAAGGGAGAAGAATCGATGCAAGGTAGGTTGCAACGACGCTGATGTGGATGTAGGCGTCTGCTGAGGTGTCTCCAAAGTCCCTGACCGGCTTTGCCGAAAGGTGGACGTAGTGGGGGAGATGGTGGCGGAGCAAGGTATCGCCGCAGGAAAAACCTCGAGGGGTGCACTGTTGGCACGATTACGCGAATTAGTCTGCTTTAACGATACAGTGATAAATTTGTGGTTAGCTTTCGGTAATCTAGATTTTATTTGATTGTAATGTAAGGCAATCCTACCGTATTCTCGTCAGTGAAGTCTATCACTTCGATGGAACACTTGCGTTCCTTCTCCTGCACACCAACGATATTTTGTAAACTACCATAGGTGACGTCTTGTAAAATTTCTGGTGAAAGGGTGTAGGGCGTTCCTCTGTGCAAGGCTTGCCTTTCTGCATCTGGAACGAGTTAAAATACAAGCCTTTTTGATACATAAATACTTAATTTATATTGAAAAGCTTTTTAAAATGAGGGGGTTTTATGGAGTACACTTGGGAAACCGATTTATCGGAAAGATAATGAATCTAATCATACTAATAAAGTAGCTGCAATTTTCGTCTCGATATTGTTAATGGTGCGATGTAGAGTTCCGAATTCCCAAATGGATGCAGACACTGTGAGGTACGTGGTCTGTTATAATTTCAAGGTCAGGGTCCAAAGTTAATTACTTTCCACCACATCAAGCCTGACATGTACATATTTGGAGAATCTAAAGGACCAGAAGTGTGTGCAGGGGAAGGCAAATTAATCGCCTTGCGTCACTAATGCACAACTGCTTTTGTTTCTCGCCGTGCAAAGAATAGCGATTCTCATGACACTCTGTGATGAAAGAATAATAATATTCAAGCACTTCGTCCCTTGGCGTTTTGCTGATTACTATCTTAATAATGGAACTGCATTTCACTCAATCACAAAATACATATAATAAACCGGTTCTAGTTTACAGTAACATCAGAAATGTCCTCCTTCACTGATGAGCACAGTGACATCACTTGCACAAAATGGCCGTCAGTATATGGCCTGTTTGCTAGAGTTTGGAGAGTATAAATAGTTTGTTTTTGAAAATTCTGATATTCTCGTGAAAGAAATTTTGGAAAGGGAAGTTATTAATCACATATACTTCCTCCTTTAACGAGGGATTTGCTTATTAAAGATATTGGGATACGAGATTTAAAAGGGCACTGTGGGCGTAGCACTAACTGCACCAACAGTACTCTCCCCCCACCCGCAACAGGTTAACTCACAACTAAGTAAACAAGCATAAAAACACATCGACGGATCACAAATTTAAATAAACTGAAGCATCATTGCCGGTCAGGAGGCATTTAAAGTGACCGCCATCCTTTTATTCGTTCAGCGTAGATGATGACAAACCTCGTAAAGCATTTTACATCTAAAAAAGTGAGATCAACATAACCTATGGAAGTCATTATCCGTACTATTTGATGTGCGTTACGACAGTAATTTATGACAGGATGAACATTAAATAAGCAAATAAATTTTCACCGGTGTTGTCTGCTCTCAAATAGATTACCTGGAGGGATCCAAGTAAGCAACGTGCATTTCTCCCACTTTATTGCAAGTCTTGGTTACCATCCTACCAGCCTTTGAATCTCCATATTGCAATCGAATGAGGGCTGACGTTCTCAGGCTCTAAAGTACCTTTACTTATGACTGGGGCATGAATCGCTGTTGAGCGCTCATCACATCATTGAGGTGGAGGCCGTATGAGACGATTTTATGGCCCCTCTATTATTCCATTTTCAATAAAAGGAAAAATCAAGGTGCAGGTTAAAGTACATTTGTGATCAGTTTGATCAACTGTACCACGGCAATAAAATTGATCATAACTGCCGTTATTTTAAGGGTTTACGATTCCAGCGGGTAGCATTAGCGCTACCGATCACCAAGCGGCCGAATTTCTTGGTATTTACCAAACTCTAAAGTAATAGTCAAGACATCAACTATATCATTTAGAAAAAACAACGGCCTCCCTATTCGTAATGATGCATAAAAGCGGTTATTAGACCACCAGATGTCCTGCTTCATCAATGTATCATAAAAAATCAAATAGCTTTCAACGACCTAGGTTCACTTTCAGTTAAACCAAAACTAAAAAAACCAACTCTTCTTTACGTTAAGTGAGCTGTGAGAATATCACCTTAAGTAGAACATGCCTTTTTTATCTATTTATCTATATATCTATAGATATATACTTGTCTTGATGTGTTAAATCGAGTCTTACTCATGAGGGATAAATGGCACAGCATTGACAACTCACCCATATTTACATCTGTTTCTTGACTAATCGTGACGACCAGAGAATCCGTGAATATCTGGAAGCACTCATAGTCATCAACAGCCTTGTCGTAGGACCGCATTGACTCCGCATAAGTCTCCGGTTCAATGCCGGTGATACCCTTGAAAAAAAATGAGTTGAAATAACCGATGATGCTTCACTAATTTCAGTGATAAAACAACTTTTACTCATTTTTAAAAAACCATTTAATAAGAAGTAGTCTTTAAACTACCAATTCCTTGGTCTATTCAGTGGTAAAATTTTTATCGGTTATAATTGAGAAATCCCCCCGATGCTATGCGTGGGCAGGACCCCTATTTTGCATTGCTGAAGGGCCATTGAATTTAATCAGTTTAAAACCTTCAAATAATACTTCATCTATTCATTTTTTCTGACAACTTTAATCATATCATATTTCTTGGAGGTGTTTAGCGGAGCGACTTTCAAATCGCTATCTCGCTGTTTCCAGGAGTCAAGAGCAACGGATAATATGAGGCAAAGCGTTTGCCAAGGCTAGCAATAAAGATGGAAAGACAGCACATAAAAGGCGCTGATGAGAACATAAATTAACGCAGCATGATAGAAAAAGCGTGACATCAAGTTTTCCACTTTGATAACAATGCAACAGTTGTGTCATGAAGTACCAGTCGTGATAATTTTCTTGATGGTAATTAACTAAAACTCTGGATTTTAGGAAGCATTTTGCTCATCGCGTTCGTAAGAAACCTCAATCACTCGACTTTGGGTCGGAAACTCTGACTCACGGATTGAGTAAAAGTTGGGCCTTTTTACTTAATTACATATATGGCTAAAGTCTAGAATACACGAGAGACTTACTTTTGAGTTCAATAATATACCGGTTATAGGTAAAATAGCACGGCTTTTAATAAAAGGAACTCGGTAACTCAAATTTCTGAAAGATGGCTTAAATAATCAATGATGGATGAGACACCCCGCTTTGTCACCAGCATAACTTGGTCAGAGGCTGCATACAAACTCCTGTTGCATCAGTCCTACGAGCCGTGAATATTCCAGAGCAATATTTTGCAGAAGATGGTTCTTCTTTCGGAGGAGATCCCTGAGATTGAGGTCCTCCTTGACTAGGGGGGCACAATGCGCGTCTGGGGTAGCCTTTTGGCGCCACGAGTACTGGGGTGGCTGGTTTCCCCGATCGGAGGGGTTAAAAGGGGGCCCAAAAGTGTGCTCGTCCTCCCACCAGATGCTCCGCACAGGGCTGTGCTCATTGCACAGAGTGTCGGAGGTGATGGAGTTGTCGGTCAAATTAATTGCTGATTTGGGAGCGTTTGAATTGCTCATTTCTGGTTTTGCAAATGCGCAATGGTTACCTTCTAGGCCATCCTAGTTATTCAAGAGTTCACCTGAAATCATGCGGTGCAGAACTAATAATTAAGCAAAGTTTTCATAATTTTGCATTTTGTCTTTTGTCGCTGATAAATACAATGGTTATTCTGGTGTACTCAATGAATGCAGCATTCAAACCTCATCTATATTAGTCTTACGACCGGATTTGATAAATGGTATAAGCCTAAATCCTACTCACGTTTTATACTTGTTTCTAAATAACTTTCTTAGAAAAGAATATAAAGCTTTGAAGCGTACGAAAAGTGAGGGCAGCTAAGTCACTTTTAACACTAAATTCCAATTTTAATCACGGAGGGTATGCGCGTAATTAAGTTGCATTCGAGGCATGACAAAGCGACAGCTTCAAACGCATTGTCTCTGCCGGTCCGACAATGAAAGAGGAGCAGTGGAACATTTTTGAAACCAGGACAAATACATTCCGCAATTGACATACTGAACTAGGTGTTACCTTTTTCAATTTGGTAAAAATCATTCCAAATCATTCCAAATTTTCTCATAAATGGAATACTCTTCAAGCAAATTATTATGCCTAGAGGAAATGAAAATATGAACCGCCGTATCTATTGGCGATTGGCATAGAGATTCCATATAATAAGGAAAATAGCCACAAACTGAAGAGATGAAGGATATTTATGCCGATGAAGTACTGAATTGTGCTAAATCTCTCTTTTTATCAGAGACGAGTTATTTAAGATAGGCGCACTGAGTGCCATGATGATGTGATCTGGTAGCTACCAAGGGCCGCCTGACGATAGCACATGCTAAGGCCGGTGTCGAGTGGACAGAACGTGAGCGAAGACACGCACACGCCTCTGTCCACACGGAGCCAAGCCAACGAAAAGGCTCTTGCGCCATCCGCTCACACAGGGTAAGAGTAGAAGAAAACGCACGATACAGGCAATGGGCAGGAGCGTCTGGTTGTGAAAAAGTAGGCAGTGGTGCATAGCTGTATAAATCTACGCGAAGTCATTTTTTCTGTAATTGGAGGCTTGTGGAAATATAATATGTTATCAACGTTTTTGAATTTTGTGGATAGGCATTCCTACATTACTTTTCTCTCAGATTAGGTCCAACCAGTCTCAGTTTAATGCAGGAAAATTTAAGTCCACACTTTGTACGTTAGTGAGTAAAACATTTAATTTGAAAGTGCTAGTAACTTCGGATTTGGCAGCTTCGTGCAAATAAGCAAATCACCTAGCCCGAGCATGCTAAAATGACAGGCTATTAGAGCCTGACAACTGTACTGAGAGTAGTAAATTGGAGACAATCTTCTTTGTGCTTATCACTAGCCTCTTACCACTCACACAGCAGACACTGCCATAGTCTGTCCTCGGAGCTGTTTGTCAATCCCTCTTATCACGGCTGTGTCCTGTGCCAACTAACCTTATACCTGAGTTGTTCTATTAAAATAAGCTAATTTTCACAAAAAGTTCAAATCCTATAAAGAACGCATAATTTAAAATTAATCATTGATTGTGATGAACCGTTAATTTGTGTAATTCCGAGTACCGAACTTGGGCTTTGTTGAGAAATACGCATTTTAGCCTTATCTTAGAATGTGGTAATAATATCAAAGGCATGTAAATAATTGAAATGTTTTACTAGCATAAAGAGGCTAAAGCTAAAGTAAAAGCCGAGGTAGGTAAGCTCAAGAGCATTAGAAGAGGAACCTACATGGGTGAGCATTTGCTCTGGTATGTGAAGGCAACCAGAATGCAACCAACTGTGCACGATCTGCCAAGTAAACATTGTGCGATTGCGTGTATGGCAACATCATTGTGTGCACGATCAGCACCAGCGACGTTGGTTGGCTGGTTTGGGTATTAGTCGTGACCATTGGTACGTGCCGCTGACCTACTAATTAGTCCACTGGCCTTCAAATGCAGCCAAAAATGGGTATCGTAACACACTCATTGGAGTTTTCAGTGAGCGTATTGACTTCCATCACATTCAAATAGAGTTTTCAGTCCATTTGAATGTAGCAACTGCAATTGCGTTTCATCCACCAAAACCCTATTTGTGCTTACTTTCCAAGGCACTAGGTAGTGCTTAGTTAACAATGCATCCTCCTGACTGGATGATGTCAAGGCTTGTGTCTACTCCAGGCTGACTTTGAACTAGCCAACAGTTGGTGCATCTTAATTTCTCAGAACAAAGGAGCGCCACGACAACGAAATTTGATGAAGTATAAAGTTCTGGCCTTCTTGAATTCTAGCCTATATGCAGAGTCTAACTTGCATTGCAACCAAAAATCATAAAACACTATTCCTTTATATCTATGCATGTTTTAATGTGCTCGAGGCGTCCCGCTTCCTGCTAACCACCCTCACTACTTGGTATAAGTAACATTGTCTCAAGCTCCTAATGCAATGTTGCATGAGTAAGTAATCCAATCGAGTTTCTGGTTAAATTCACAGTCTCGAAGGTCGAGTGATCTTAAATACAAACAGGCAAATGAAAAGAAAAACGACTTATCCTCTGCGGTAAGCTAACCACGAACTTCGAATTCATATTGCTTTTTTTCGAAAATAGGGAGTAGTCACATCTTCGAGTCTTCTCTTGCTTATAAGAGTGACAGGGAGGGTAATGCGTCAGCTTTGTCTCTGCACTCTGGGAATGATTTAACTTTTATTTTGACCCCTCTTTATCAACACTCATCCTTTGCATCCTATGAGCCCGTGGATAGTGGTGAGAGCGTGCGATGATAGCAGGCACAATCGGTGATTCGGTGAAACATGAATGATACATTCCCTGTTGTAATTAGAAGCAATGGCCATCTACAGAATCATGCCATTGACTCACTTGGGATGGTGTTCACCAATAATCTCCTTTGATCTTCGAGCATCAAATTTCCCTTCCAACTGCTCAAACTATCGGTAAGGATCTGTTTCAAAAATGATTTAAAAGCAGCCAGTACTGCCCTAAATACTGTAGATCGTGAATCGAAAACCGGTGGTTATGAAAAATTTTCATAAAATTATTGATCCGTACTCTATGCTTTGAAGCCTGAAACGCTCACACTTTGACAAAAAGCGAACTGGGCGAGTTTCCTTCTCACACTACGTCAGCAGCACCGTTTGAAGACCATTGCGCTAGATTGGGATGAGGCTATCGCAGATGACGCGAGACGATGGCTCTGCGTACCTCATGGACAAAGTGCGAATAAAATCGGCCTTCTCCCCATCCCACACTACTGTGTGGTGGCGATCAGCAACATTCCGATTTCTTGGGTCGGCAGGGAGCAGTTTTACACACACCTTTTCTATGCGAGAATGAAATTACGATAGGGACCGTTCGAGGTAGACTCCGCTAGCAGTATGCAGATGACGGCCAAAGCCAAGTCGATGCGCGTCAGATGTCATATTTCACAATTCTCTAGAATGCCCTCATATGGTAAGCTGGTTTAGAACCAACATTCTCCTGCAGTAAATATTCGCTTAAATTTGAATTACTTTTTTTGTGAATCTCTTATGCACCTACTTTCTCAAAGTAGTTGATTCACAAAGTCAATGCTGGCTTAACCATCCAGGCGCTTGCCAATCTGAGATAAACCTGCTTGCATGGTTATTTCGCTCCTGCGTATATGATTCGGTTGCAGCCCCAAAAAACTTCAACCGGGTGTTGCCGTCAATCTTGGTTGAAAAGGCCAAACCTCCGTACTGCTACTGATGGATGAGGGATGGCTCCTTTTTCGCACAAATTGGCACCATAATTACCTATTCACTGGGTGAAGTGCAAAGAAACATCGGATAGTATGAGCTTGAACGGTGAAATTCTATCTCCCTTTGTCATCTTTACAATAGCAATGGCCAGTGGTGAACCTCATTTAGCCTTTTTGAAAGGCTAAACAAGGCATCTGACCCGGTTATTTTACCAACCCATTGGCACTAGAAGCGCAGTCAGTAGAGAAACCGTGGAAACGTTCTCTCGACTTTAGTCTCTAACCTGATCGCCTGAAACCCGCATTAAAAGCATCACTTACTAGATTGACGACGAGTGCGTGGGCATACCGACCCAGGACACGCTGGTGCATAAGCACCAGTTCAATCAACTTGACAAGACTGCTTTTATTCACGGAAAGCGACTCGGTGTTCGAACCACTAAAAGGTTCGGCTTTGATGGTCACTGTTACACAGTCACTGCTTATGCTAAGAATGGTGCTGATTTGCGAACGCCCTCCTTTTGATTCTAGTAGCACTTCTCTGGTAACCTATCAGCAGGCTTATCAGTCGAGAAATGATAGATGAAAAACCTGATGTCTAGGATGGCGTTCGCCATCGATTAGGCCCGTAACATTCCAGAGCGATTGTTGGGATTGACTTGGTTAAAGGTCATGACCATCATGAAGATAATAGGTGAAAATTAAATTTCTAGACGTTTCTGTGTTCAGCATTTTATCCTTCTTTAACATGGTACTTTATTAAGGATATCAATAAAATTGATGCGGAAAAATAGTTTAAGAAGGGGAAAGCAATAGTGAGCGTTGAAGGCAGGGAAGGAAGAGGGGAAAGTTGATCATTTACGGGAGCGAAATGGAATGCATGTTAGAGGATTGAGAGACGTTAAATTATTTCCCTTCGCCATTCCTCCTTTTTCTCACTCGCTCTCTCGTCCTCGTGATAAAATTAAATGCATTGCAAGCGTTACATGAAAGAGCTCTGTTGTAAAGGCAAATCGAGGTCATGGAGGCGTAGGAAGTGGAGGCAACTTCCGTTCCGAATTGGGTACTACAGAACGCAAACTGGATTGGTCTCTGCCATTGGACAACTGATGATGAGGCTGAAGCACTGATGATTGTGGAGAGGATGGCGGTGGCTTGGATGTAGAAAGTTTGTCATTGCTGCTGTTTTTGCTGCCGCTGCAGATTACCGTCATCATGCAAGAGTTGACCTCCTGCAGAGTTTGCAGCAGGCACAGTGGGTTCCAATTGTTGTTCTGGTGGTCAAGGAAGTCACCTCGCAAACTGCTAGTACCATGCGAGTAAGGATAGCTCTCTGTGTTTCCCATCGCGTTGCAGGAGAGATCCGAAGCAGATGCTTCTGTTGTCACCACTGTCCTTAACTCCGTGATGAGCTGCAACCAAAGCATGGAAAGGGGTTCCATCGACACTGTTTCGAACAATGAACACAAATAGCCCCTAAACATGCAATTCACTGATTCGAAGACCGGCATTACTTTGATATAACCTTACCATCAAGTGAGAAGGACCTGTCAGTGCTCACAACTTTAACCGTTATTTACTCATTTGTCTACACGAGGTCTTCCGGCCACCAGTATGACGTGTAACTATGCTTCTCAACAAAATGAAAAATCAAAGTTTATCACTGAACGGAGAGAAATTCTAACACCTTTTGCTTTATGCGCGTAAAACTCACAGTATCGTAGCAGATGGTAACATATCGAGTGTAGAGCTCGTACAACGCCCACGAGACATTAAATTCATTCTTGTGGTTCTTCGAATGCTGACACAAGGAGACATTTACGTCATGCTGTGAAATAGAAGGCATAGCCTTGATTTCGGCAAAGTACTTCTTCACTGTGAGCCAGTGGCGCTGCGAGACGAAAAGACATCAGAGTTAAGCTAGGAATGTTAAAATAAATCGTCTGTTCCTCAAAACAACGCCCCCTCACTGTTGATCAAGCTTCATTCTAAAATATCCTCAAGTGTTACAGGCTTCAACCCTTACATTCTATTCTTTAATGTGTTACGTTTTACCACCTCTATACTGCGCCATTTCCAGGGTTTCTAACTTTGTGAAAAGAAATGTGGATGTATTAAATTACGCAGTCGTTGCTATTATTCATGAGATTTGAACAGCCTCAAAAAATGTGACCCATACCTTACAAATGTAGATGTTCACCATTTTGCCCAAAAAAATTCATATAGGCTGGTCCTACCTTAAATGATATTTGAGATTTTCAACTAATGTCATTTACTGATTAAAAACATAGGTGATATTTAGAGTAATAGTTACAGGAATGGCGAATGAGGCAAAACTATACAGGTGGCGTCAATTTTCCGAGGTGATGAAATTAGAGTAACATCCTTGACTTTTATAAAATTTGCTAAGCCCTTTCCAATGCAACTTCAAAGGTGTTATTGCATTATTTTACGTTAAATCACTTTAATTTGTTCCTTCAAGGTAGAATCAAAAGCACATGGCAAAGTCTCCTTCGTGAAGACCACCCTTTTCAATCTGATTTCGGCTGTTCATTTCCATGTTCATCGGTCTTCTTGCCTTCTTATAGTTTATTATTTTGCCTCAGTGGCACATATTTTGAGGATTGATTTATACTGGTTTTGAGTGGGTTGTGACTATAACCAAGTGTGTTCCTCTACTTGAATCAGCATGCACAGGACCTACTGATCTTTCACAGTCTCCAAGTGTCTACGTAGAATAGTAGACTAGTGCTGTTGACCGGTGCAGGTTTTCTCTATGGGTAATACTACGGCCTTTTCGTTGAATTCTGAATGACAGCAATTGCAACCTACTCCCAATTACTTATCATTGGAGCGAAATTGCGCAAAACGCACTGGCGCGATTCACTTATGATCGTCCTAGCTGAATTTGAATGACAAATGAACTCTTCAAGACCCAAATTTATGAAACCTGAATTACTTGCAAAAAACTTGATTCTTAAAAGCTTGCATCATTAC